CTGATAATAGATAGATAGATAGATAGATAGATAGATAGATAGATAGATAGATAGATAGATAGATAGAATGAAAAAGATAGAAATAGATATGAACAGACTTGGATATATGTGAACTGACATAGATATAAACAGATTGAGATAGAGAGAGAGTGAGAAAGAGATGACGAAAGCAAATAAAAATTCTACTCACAGATATGGTATTTTATTCAACGGGCACAACACTTTAAGAATATTTTATTATGTAAATTAAACTTTGAAGAACTTTATATTAACAGATTTTTACATTTTTAGGCGTCGAACTTATTAAATTTGCAATCTTTTCTTGTTGGATATCCAACCAAACTCCTTTCAAAATATTAAGCGAATCTTTTGGCGAAGTTTTTCTGAATATTTTCCTTATTTCCTGATCACAAATAACCTCGACCTGTTCAGCTGAGTTTATATTAAGAGAGAGATTTGGTCATGAGAATCGCTTAATAACTTTTGAACCTGTTGAAAGGGTCACTACTATGTTAATTTTAATAATCTCAAAATAAATGAATTCAACACATACCGAGATTTTATATACAGCCATATACACAGATAGGTGTAACATTGCTCAGAAAAGAAGAGAAAATCCCATTCTTCAACAAACTACTAACGTTCGAGTACTTGTTTGTTACAAGAGTCATAAGTTTGTAGCGCTTATTAAACTGGGATAATTTTTTGTGTTGAAGAAAGGTATATATATATATATATATATATATATATATATATATATATATATATATATATATATATAGGTTGTAGTGAAAAAATGTTATTGTGATTACTTGAGGTTCTTTTTTTCAATAAGGGTTAGTGTAGTGTGTTGTATGCTACATAGAGTTTGCCTTATGGTTAACAAGTTTAACCGGATGAGAGGGATTACTACTGCATCCTGGGATTAAAGAGAGAAAAATGGGGTTGTATCCTTTCCTTTTATACTGTTTTATACAACGCCACCTATCGATTGTTAAAAGAAGTTTCCTGACAAACAAGGTGGTGTAATTCCAAATCGCATTTTGTTTTTGTTGTTTTGTTTTTATTGTTTGTTTTTTATTTCATTTATTTATTTATTGTTCTATGACGGTGGTGGAATTTAAATAAAATTGTGATTTCGCTGTAGCCTTATGTTAATGGTAATGGTAATATTATCTGTTTCCATACAAGGAAAAATTTGACATTCACTGACTGGGCCGTCGGCTGAAATTTATAAAATTTTTCCCTTAAAAAAATAGGTGTTTCTCAAATCAAGTAGCTCTTATCGATCTTTCCGGTATTAATCAAGATTTCCTTCCTCACCTTTTATTTGAAGTAATGTGGAATGACAACATCTTGATTATGCAATTATTTTCTCTTCGAGTTACATGTGCTATCCATTTTAGTTGTTGCTACTGTTGGTAGTCCTCAAGTGTGGCGGTTTCTGTTATTTGGTACAATTCTTTCTTTGTGATTCTGTAGAGCCAGTCAAAATATTCAAAGAAGAATGATCTTCAAGACCCACAGTCTTTATCACGCGAAGCCATTTTTAAGCATTTATTTTTTCAAAGTCAGCTTTTAAGATATCTTGACATGTTCTAAATGTATAGATAACTTCCATTCAGTAGCAAACCAAGAACGTAAAATATCTCCAAATATAGTAAATTCTTACACATACTTATGAGCTCAAACATGATTCAAGACGTTTACTGGACTCAATAAATATTTACTTTTCAACATAATCTCCTTTCTTTTCCGCACCCTAGGTATGACGATAATCTACACCCGTTAGCAAGGCCACAGAGCGGGAGATTGTAGGTTTTGAGGAGCATGGAACCATCTTTTAATTGCTGTTCCCAATTTCACCCTGACACGGGATAGTAGCACCTGTTAAGGTTCCAGATCTACGAAAATAGTGAACCCACCAGCCAAAAGTCAATAAATAAAAAAGCATAAAAATATATTTTATAGTAAAAATACCAGTAATAAATTTTTATAAAAAAATATGAAACAATAGATTTTTGTAGTAAAATTAACAATACATTTGTAGCAAAATGACAATCAATACATTTTTATAGTAAAATTAAAGACATGACATACATTATCAAAAAAAATCATTTTTTAAATTTGCTGTGATTAATCTCATTTCTTGTAATGAGAAACACGTTTTCACTTCTCGTTTTATTTTGTATGAATATTTGGTAATAAAAAAAAGCTAAGTAATTATAATATAATCATGAAATAATGTCATTCTCTTGAATTAATTAAAAATATTTGAATTTTCATAATTTAGATTTCGGTATTATATAACTCATAAAGACGTTGATATGCCGCTAAACAAAAATAACCAAATCAAACTTATGTCCAAAAAATTTGTAGCTTAAGGCATACAATTGCGCTCAAAATACAATTAAGTAAAATTGCATACATATATACACGCGTGTGTCGGTGCCTTTGCACGATTATTTGAATACGAGTCATGAAGACTAATTTAATTGTGCTGTGAGCTGATCCACACTTGCTGCCTTGTGCCAGACTAAAAATACAAATAAATAAGTATACGCTCGTGCAACTTGCGTGTTTGATTGCGCAAAGTGTCTTGTCCGAATATATCTTTTCAGATAACTTTGCACGCCAGAAAACATATGAGCACATATAAACGGACAGGCAAACATTGATATATTCATATACATGCATCGATCAAAATATTTCCATGTGATTTATCGATATAGTTCATATATTTGTGTGTGTATATATATATATATATATATATATATATATATATATATATATATAGTTATAAATATATGGATAACTAAAATTTATTAGAATCATTTGCCAAGTGATTTTTTACATCAAAATAAATCATATATATATATATATATATATATATATATATATATATATATATATATGAAAAATAGATTAAATATATGGCTAGCTAAAAGCCATTAGAATCATTTTCCAAGTTATTTTTACATCAAAATAAATAATATATATGAATATAAATATAGATATAGATATATATGCAGACATCTACATACACCTTAGACATATATATATATATATATATATATATATATATATATATATATATATATATATATATTTCAGTGCATCCTGACATATATCACATATGAAACATTCGCATATGTATTTATGTATGTATATATGTATGTAAAAACACTCTATTGCTAATAATAATAAGCAAGTTTCTGCCATAAATACAGAAATTTTAAAAAATATAATTAAATATATGCACACAGACACACACACACATATATATATATAAAAATATATATATATATATATATATATATATATATTACAGGCATATATGACATTTATACTTGCATAGAAATATGTATATACGTGTGTGTGTGAAAATATAGAGATAAAAAAAAAATATATATATATATATATATATATATGAAACATACATTTAATTAAAAGTAATATAATCATTTTCCAAGTGTTTTACATCAAAATAAATTATATATATATATATATATATATATATATATATATATATATACATATATATATATATATATATATATATATATATATGCATACAATTACATATACCCTAAATATGTATACCTCTATAAGCACCTTCTGGCATATTTATATCGCCAATCACATATGAATTACATGCATATATATTTGTGAGTATTGGTGGGCGTGTTCATAAACGCTCTATCATCGACATTGAGCACTTTTCCGCCATAAATATACCAAATTTTAAACAATATACTTTAATATATATATATATATATATATATATATATATATATATATATATATATATATATATATATTACATGCATATATGTAATTTATAATACTTACCTAGAAATATGTATGTATGTGTGTGTATCTGCGTGTGTCTATTAGAAATCGTTCTGATATACATATATATCTATAACTTCGAAAATCTATACATAAATAAATGGAAAAAATAATTTGAAAGACTAAATGCCAAAATGATATATTGTCAGATTTATGTTACCCGTTTCGGTAAGAATAAAACTCTTTATTTTATCTTTTCTTTCATAGCTGAAATATTTAAAAGCGTCGAAAATTGAAATCGGATAAAGTTCTCTACGTTTTTCTTTCTTCAAATGTATTTCTTCCATTTTTTTTTATCTTGTCTTTTTATTAAACGCCTGTTATGTCTGAATGCTTCCACGCATTTATTTGATATGCGTGTCTCATGTGATGAGATTTCTTCTCTCATTTTCAATATAACTTCTTTTTTCTCTCGGATAAATTCAGAATTAAATTATTTTTCTTGTCAGTAGGGAAAATTGTTTTTGCATTTCAAAAGTCCATTAATTGAAAATTCGTCTTATGAGATTTTTGGTTAAATCTTTGAACATACAATATTCTCATTCTTATTCTAATTCGCCTATGAAGTTTAGGATCATAGAAACGCTTCTCACTGTTATTTTTCCTATCTTTTCGATGGTCTTGTGCACTTCACAGAGCAAGTTAGTATTGTTTCATCACCACCGTCTGGTCGTCAGGGTTTCGCCAGCCACGATGAACGATTCTACATAGACGCTATATTTTGAACGTATATTAGGCTTCAAGTTCACTCCCGACCTCAAGTAGCACATATATATACAATCCAATGCTAAAGAAGCTGGAAAAAATGGTCGGCTCACTTATATAGCGCTCCAGGGAATATTTCACTTCTTCTGTGATATTGTATCTTTACAAGAGTCAGTTTAGGCCAAAAATGAAAACTTACTGCTATATTAATTCCGGGACTGCTCACTGCTCATCTTTCAGCTCAGAATACAAAATCGTTTGCGCTTTCTTGTAATAGGGGAAGGGGTATTTTCCACTACACACAGACGTACAATTGCCTGTCGCTAGTCTGTCTATTGCAAAGAGCTCTATTCTTTAGTTGCACCAGTTCAGACCGTAGCAGTTAGGACACGTCTTTTACGGATTTGAATCACCATCTGTGTTCCAAGTGTAAGAACGAAGTTACCCTGAAACGGTTTTGTTTCCTCAAGAACTGTCTCATTGTGGAACAGACTATGGTGTGGGTGCTTCCTTAAACACTTTAATCTTGAACTCTTCAAGTTAAGGGTCACTTGTTATGTAATATTGTCGTTGTACAGACTGGTAAGATCACGTGACTAAATCCCTCATAAGTAAAATTACTGTTTATTCAACTCCGGATTTCGTCAGTAAATATCGGCATGTGGCTTTGGGGGTTTTTTTTCTCCGGACGCAGATTTCTTCTTCGCAAGAAGGACGTGAGAGACTCTCTGCCTTTTTTAACTCATCGATAGGTACTTATATATTTTCCTGTCATTGGTTGCCCCACGTGTACTCAACCTAAGCACAGATAAGTCGACCAACTACATGTCGAAGCAGTCACTGACTTCCACTGAATGATCATGTTGCAGACGGTATATTGGCCCGAAAACATATATCGAATGACGGAAGACAACAACAAAACGAAGAATTAAGTAAAAATAAATATTGACAAGTTTATTTTTGTTAAAGAAAAATACAAAAAAAAATAGCATTGTCCTGAGATGGATAGTTTTGTGGTCACTAGAGAGTGAATGTCCTGAAAAAGACTGTTTCATGGTCGCTAGAGAGCATTATCCTGAAAATAACAGTTTTCGTGGTCGCTGGAGAGTGTTGT